TAGAGGGCTTGGTGGAGCCTGGCTAGCATTTCTCAATATTCTATTCTAGCATCCAATCCCCTCTCCATAAATTACAATTAAGACACCTGCAAAACTCCATCTAACCAAGCCATCAAACCCAACGTCATCAATGCTATGTAAAACTAATACCATGTGGCTCCTAATAAGACATACTGAGAAGGATTTAACATTATCCGAGTGGCATGCCTGCCAAAGTAGCCATAAGCTAAATCCAATTGTGAGAAAATCAGAAAAAACAAATTGAGAGACATTCTATAAGATAAGATCCCTGTACTCTTCAAAGATTTCAAGGTCAAGAAAGGTTTTTTTGAAAGGGCTGAAGAACTATTCCAGATTCTAGAGACTAAAGAGGCATGTAAACAGAATATAGTGGATGATTCTGAATTAAACCCTGGGCTGAGACAAAAACGGCTACAAACAATGTCATTGAAACAATCTGTCGAATCTGAATGTGCACAGTGGGTGGGATTGTGTGCTGTGTCACTCTTACATCTCTTGATTTTGATAACTGCACTGAGGTTATGTAAGGGAGCTCCCGTATTTTGAGGACATATGCACTGAAGAATTTAGTGTAAAACCGCACAATGTCTCCGACTTATTTCCAAATATTTAGAAGAAATAGAAAACAAGTGCAGAAAACAAGAAATGGGGTAAACATGTAACCGATTGGTAAACCTGGACAAGGGCCATCTTTGAGTTATTTATAATTTTTCTATTATTAACAACATGAAACTATAGCGAAAATAAAGTTTACCAAAATGTATCATGAGAACTTCTTAAAGAGTTGTAGTGTCGTAGTGGCAGGATGTATGAAGTGGTCACCGAGAACAGCTATGGTTCTGTTTCTTTTAACTAAGTATCCCATCAATTAAGAGTCTGAATAGCACTAAGTTAACACTCAATTTGTAATAAAAATAAAGTAGCCATTTTTTATTAAGGTCTTATTTTGTGTCCGGCATTGCACTAAGCATTTTACACACGTGTTTATTTTACCCAACAATCTTATAACAGTGGACTATAACCTTGCTCATCTTACAGATGAAGATGCTAAAGTAATGAGAGAATAGTTTGCTTAAAATCATGCAGCTAGCAGTGGAAATGTCAGGATTTGATCCTGAGACTGTATCACCCTAAAACACAGGCTGTTAAACACTGCATTATGCTGATTTCCAAATATAGTATGCGTGTTTGGAAGATTAGTATATTAATTACTAGAAGTTAGTGCATTGCAGCTTTTGGGTCTTATGTTCCAAGAGCAAGACACACAGAGTACGTTTGTTTTTCTCTTTAGTGGAGGATCTGCTCCAGCTTGTCTAAAACATTGTGGTCTTTGGCTCACACCATTTTAATAAAACCCAGGTGTATTTAGCCAGATTATATGACACATGTTCAGGTTCAGGTTTGATTTCAAATTAAGTATCTAGATGATTTATGGTAAAGAGTTTACCTCCTTTTTCCCCATGTGAATTCTAATTCTAATCTTCAACCTGTTCTTCCAACCTTCCAGCACTTAGAGTTTTTCCATTTAAACCACTCATTGTTATTTTTATAATCACAAGAGACTGTTACCTAGGCCAGCACCTGTTATTATTTCCTTAATTTTTTTTCATTTAGAAAAGGAATGAATTTATATTAATGTGACTACACCATATTTTACCAAATTCCTAGGGAAAAGCATTGCTTTTCTGCTCCCCTACAAGCACGTGATCACACCAGTATATAACTTTATAATAATGGGGATCATTTAAACAGTTTAAAAATTTAAATAACTTCCATTTTAAATGTTGATATATGTAACTATATGAAATTTATTCTGTACGTTTCTCATGTTTTGAAGAAAAGGCACAAGGCAAAAACAGTGACATTTTAGGGACAGATAACTTGAATTCTAATATGGTTGATGAATCAGATTACAGAAAATCTAAACATACTAGAGTTTTCATCACCACGATGAATTGAAACCCAAACCTACATGAAAGTTCAAAAACACTCCATAACTTATTGTGTTCATTCTAGTCTTTCTGCAGTTCTTGATGAGTCTAACACCAGTCACTATTTCCACAATTGTGTAAGACAAGCTTTGAGCTGACTAAAATTAGGAAGCCGAGAAAAGTCTCCGGCCAAAGGCTGTTTTCCATTTACTTTGTTTTATTACAGTTTTATGTACTTGAAAAACCAACAAAGAGAAAATTCTCTTTCATGAGATTTCCAGATTTTTTCCCAGATAAAAGTTGAGTAAAATATGTAAACACTGGCATTGTTACTGAACTCTGAGTGTTGGCTGTCGCTTTCATTCACTATCTATGGTCTAACAGTTTCAGGTAAAGCGCCAGCCAGCAGGTGGAGTCGCCTGCGGGCCTGGTGTGGCTGAGGGGGTGATCTCGTCTCAAAGGCCTTTGCAAGGCGAGCAGGCCAGCCGCTAACAGGACCCGCGTTCATCCCTGGCACTTTTTCCTGTGTCTCAGCTAAATTTTACTGGAATTATGAACCTGGACAGGAACTTAAATATAAACTGATCCATAATTTTGAGTTTACATATGAAAAACTGAGACTGAGATAAGAGTAACTTGTTCAAAGGAAATTAGTAGTCAAATAGGACATGGAATACTTATTCCTGATTTAGGACTTTTCTGGGACTTTTGTTTGTTTGTGGCTTCAACCAAAGCAATCGCCTTTGGAATTCTAACTAATTTTCTCTCTCTGGAAATGCGGGATGCTGTAGGAGTTGCCATGGTCACTTCGTCTATCCCTCTTCTCAACAGAAATAACCCTGAAGCATGCAAGATGGACAAGGACCATCTCAACAAGGAAGCATGCATTCATGATGTGCTCACTGTTTCAGGTGTTGGTGAGCACTTTAGCAGTCTCCGCCAGGACCTTAGTCCCCTCATAGGCAGTTGGAGCAAGGGGAACAAGGCGGTTCATACATGCAGCATCAGCAGAATGAGCTTCCCCTTTACTCTGTCCTTGTGCCCTCCACGTAGGGCTGTTGGTGAGTGGTACAAGACTGAGAACCTGGGTGCTCAATTCCACGATTTATCAGTGACACCCACCTGCACAGAGACCGCAGGTGTGGCAGTTGGCCTGCTCTGGTGGATGGACTTTCATAGCCTTTGCTTTTCTGCTCACAAACCTCTCCGGCACTAAACCACACATCTTCCCTCAAGAGGCAACTAGCTCCGTCATGAATTACCCTAAGTGCTTTCTGTTATTTACTCTGTTAGCTGCCCATTTAACTTTTACCAAAATACTATAAAGTAGGTATTATTCTTTCCATTTGATAATGGAAAAAAACTGAGTCGTAAAGAAGTTAAGCAATTTCTTATAGTCCTCTTGCTTGTGCATTGTGAAACCAATAGTTCCAAGTCCTGCTTTCTAATCATTATCATTATGCCTTACATCTTCAAATATTATTTTTAAGGTTTTAGGAATGGAAATATAGTAATCACCTTAAGATTAAACTTCCTTATGGTTAGGATAATTTCTAGTTAAGGTATTGACTTTGAAGTGTGAAGGCACATGGTATTTTCAATTTAAGATTTGGAAACAAAAATATGAACGAAATAAGCTAAAATGTTCCATAAAAAGGTTAAACTAGTTACCTTCTAATTTAATTAAAGAGTGCATTGGCACCACAAAAGAGCTAAATCAGGCAGTAATTCATCAAGGGATTTCTATACAGTTATAACACAAAAGAGAAAGTTTTACAGATATTTTTCCAACTTGCTTTTCATTTTATCCCAAACCAGGCTGCACATTAGTATTGGGAAATCCTTTAGAACTCTAGCAGGCTATCTGTTGACCCCATTAATGAAAATCCACTTAATTGAGAGGAAGTGCAGTGGGAAGTGGGTGGAAATAATAACACACATTTTAAGTGTACTAAGAAAATTCAGAAGTGTTTCTTACACAATCACAGCCACTATATATATATATATTTTTTTTTTTTCAAGATGAGAGAGAGAGAAAAAGTGAGAGCAAGAACAAGAGAAAAAGAAAGGGTGAGAGCGAAAGGTGTAAGGGTGATTGTGTATATTTTAGATCACAATTTCTTTAAAATAACCTCAGGGCTCCTTTATTATAAAAGCAATAAAAACAATTCATTTTAAAACACAGCATCGGGCTTCCTGTCGGGGAGGCGCCGTTCCGCTGCCTGCAGGGCTGCCCTGCTCCGGCGCCTCGGGGCTCGGCTCCTGCAAGACACAGGCGGGATGCACAGCTGAAAGCTGCTCGGTCCTCCTCTTCTCAAGCCTCTTTTGGCTGACGGAGTGAATTATTCAGACAGTAATGGCTAGGATAACTTTATTGTTTCGGGTCTTTATCCACTCCTACTACCCCTTAAAAGAAGAAACTCCATGCAAATGAAAAATAGCCACCTCAAAGACACACAGGCAGCTTTACCTGCTCACGGAGGAACTTGACATGCATCAGTATTTTATCTGCAAGGACCTACACATCAGCTGGATCATTCGCAAAAATCTCGTTTTAATGAAACACATTTGGAATCTGATTTTAATGGAACACATTTTTACCTTTATGTCATGCTTTGTGAAATAAAACACAGGCTCATCAATAGCCTGCAGGCAATCTTGGCCGTTATCAACCACCTGCCTATCTCTCTCATCAATGCTTTCATTTCCTTTGGCTTATTGTGAACCACTTCACATTTCCCAAACTGGTAAGCAAGGGGAAAAAGCTTCCTTTTGTTAAATTTAGGGTTTAATTTTTTAATGATAATGTTCTATATCAACATAGGGCTTTTCTCTCAAGTATAACCTACTTAAACAATCAATAGATCTTCTCTCTGCACTGGTATTATTTTTAAGGCGATATAAAAATATTGAAAAGACAGAAAATAGCAAAATAAAGTTCTACTAACTGTTAAGTAATGTTTGTTTTTCAAATTATAATAAGTGAGTACATCTTCACATATTTTTTAAAAAGTATGGCATGGGATAAGTTAATTATACATTACAGAATCGATTTAAGTAATCTTTATATTTTTGCAAGCTGAGATTAAATTGACACCCACTTTAAAATCTCCCTCTTTTAAAATCACATCACAACTTAGTGAGTGAAATATTTGGATGTAGAAAAGATCCCACTTTTGTGTAACAAGAATATCTGAATTGATGCGATTCTGTCAGGTCATCTGTTCAACGCACCTATGGACCCCACGCAGTTGATAGTGGTTAATTGTGGCAGGTCGCTTTAACTTTGTGATCTGTGTCCGAGCTCTGTCAAAGATGGCTGTGGCAGACACGTCACTCCCTCGTAGGAACACCTTGTAACTCAGACTCCAGACACTTTGTCCCACACTTGATAGCATTTTAGTGTTTTCACCTACACCAGAGAGAATCCAAAGCAAAGATAGCAATTAACACATAAGTTACTTTTTAAAATGTGAGCATTTCCTTAGGCCTTAAAAATATTTTTCAAGAAAACAAAGTTGAAGATAAAATGCATCAACCTGCTTGAAGAAAGAAAAAAATCAGATAGATATGCCTACTTTTACTAATCAGCATACCATATTCTAATATTAATATGAAACAGACATACTTGAAGTTTATGTTGGATTTGAAATAATTTTAATTATTATTGATCCTTTCTTCAACCTGAAGAATAATTTACATTTAAACCTTAATTCTAGTTACTTCTTTTTTACTCTATGGATTTGATATAATCTCATAATTTTCCAAATTGGACAAATTGTGTTATCTTTCTACAGTGAGGAATATCCAAATGATTAACACAAAACTAAATAATTGCAGAACCTATTACATCTTTTACATTCTTTATCTTTTGTGCAGATAGTTAATGATGACCTATTACCAATATTCCAATTGTATTATAGTTTTTAAATATCACTTGCTAGCTTGAAAAATCATCTGATGCGTTCTGTGAAGTAAAAACAAAAACAAAACTCAAAGCATTTGAATGCTCGCTGCTGAACATGTTAAATGAGCTAAATAATGGGAAACACATTTACAATGTACTTTAATGGTAAGCCCTTCCAATTTGTGATTTAAGAGGTCAAACTATTGGTTATTTTTGCATTCTTGGTAATTTAAGGAGAAGCAGACTGGGAAACATGCACTCACAGGCCTTATAAAACTGCTGCAGTTATTTTGACTAACAGACATTTATGGCCAATGTTCTGCTGGTAGAAAAACACCCTTGTAAGGTTGTAAACTAGTAGGAGGGCTCACAGAACCTTGGCGTGTCCACTGACAGGACCATGTGAGCAAAGCCAAGCAAGAGATGGAGCAATCTTCTCTGATAGTGAATTTATGCAATATGGATAATCCATTAGCAATTCATGGCTGCCTCGTGTGTGTGCGTGTGTGTGTGGTGTGTGTGTATGAATGTGAGCGTGTGCACACATGTGTGTTTAACTTCGGTCACCTAAGTCAACAGATAAGATTCAATCAGTACATTTCTATCCCCTGAATCCTCCCTTTACTTCACATTTTTTTCCCTGTTGACTAATAGAACTCCCCTTTCCCCCACTCATGACCCGTGCTCCAGTATGGGAAAAGCCTAAGATTAATAAATGTAAAGCCATAATTATTTTTGATATTCCAAATGATTTCTTCAAATAGTTTGAGTAAAGAAAAAAGTTTTGGTGACATTCCCAAAGAAAAGTACATACCAGAAATTATCTCTAGTGATCAATGGATCATTAGTACAGACACATCCATATTCACCCAAAGGCTTTCACTGGACTAGTGAGAAAGAGACAAAAGCAGAATATTAACTTTTCAACAATTGACTACAATTTGCTATTTCCATTCATATTATCCCAATCTTAGTCTTTCTAGTGAAAAATGTGGTTTGTTAGGACCATGTGGACATTTTCAACGTTTGCAAATGTTGCCATTGCTTTCATTTCTTTCTTCATTAGATTTTTTTTCTGTATAAACTGCATTAAACTCTATTTATGAATAGGAAAAGCACTCTTTTTGTTGTTGTTGTTTTTATAGATTGATGGGGTGCATGTGCAGATTTGTTACATGGAGATATTAGATAGCAGTGTGATCTGAGATTTTTGTGTGGCCCTCACCCAATTACAGTGCGTGGTACCCATTGGGTAATTTCTCATCCCACACCCTGCTGCCTCCCTCCCATCCCCTTTCCCTTCCAAATCTTCAATATCTATCAGCCCATTTTCTATGTCCATGTGTACTCATTATTTAGCATCCACTTGTAAATGAAAACACGTGGTATTTTGATTTTCTGTTTCTGATTCATTTCACTTAAGATAATGGCCTTCAGTTCCATCCATGTTGCTACAAAAAACATGATTTCATTCTCTTTTGTGGATGAATAGTGTTCCAATTTGGATATATACCATATTTTCTTTATGCAACCATTGGTTGATGGACACTTAGGTTGATTCCATGTCTTTGCTGTTGCGAAGAGTGCTGTGATAACAGACCAGTGCAGGCATCTTTTCCATATAATGATTTCTTTCCCTTTGGGTAGACATCCAGTAGTGGAATTGCTGGATTGAATGGTGTTTATTCTATTTTTAATTCTTTGATAAATCTCCATACTTGTTTTGAAGTTTTACTATTTTTAGTACTTTGAGAAATCTCCCTACCATTTTCCATTACAGTCTTACTAATTGGATTCCCACCAACAGTGTATAAGCATTCCCTTTTCTCCACATCATTGCCAATATCTATTGTTTTTTGACATTTCAATAATGGCCATTCTAACTGGAGTAAAATGACATCTCCTTGCCTTTCTGTGATGATTAGTAATATTGAGCATTTTTTTTATATGTTTATTGGCCATTTGTATGTCTTCCTTTAAAAAAATGTCTGTTCGTGTCCTTGGCCCATTTTTAATGGGGTCACTTGTTTTTTCTTTTTCAATATGATTTACATGACATACTCAATAAAATCATTTCAATGCCTGCCTAAATGTCAGATATAGGGAAAGCTATGAAGAATGTTTGACAGAGAATTCCTCCCAGAATTTTCTAGTTTTATTTTAGCAAAGAAAATTCTCTATGCAATTGTAAAACAATGCTGTCGATGTAACAATCTTTGTTCATAATTTGTTCGAGAATATAAGAAACCAAATGTTGAAAAAAGAAATAGAATGAGAAAAAATTGGAACAAAAGACTTCAAGCATAGATTTCTGAAATTTATACAGATTATCCAAAAATCTACATAGATACTTAAAGTTGGCATAGTATATTTTCGAGTCCATGAATAATAGTACTTAAACTTTGTAGAATACTTACTACATGTCAAATACTACATGTCAAATACTTTATCAGTATTCATATTTTACCTTAACAACCATCCTACAGGTAGGTGCTATTGCTACCCCCAGTTGTAGACATGGAAACTGAATCACTGAGAGGTTAAGTGACATGTCGAAGGTCAATAAGGTCTGTGTCTCTTCCTCCTAACTGGACTTCCAGAGCCCTGCCTCTCTCCTAACACTGCCTCGTGAGATAGACTTTCATCAAAATCCCTGGAACCAAATACTATGAATATAGAGTCTTTAATAGATATTAATATCTAATTAATTGAAACACTTGGGGACATTGTGATGGGGCAAATTTATTTTACATGTGAATCTTTGAAGGCTTAGGCAAGACTATGGTAGGCAAAATAATGGCAGTACAAAAATATTCCTCTCCTAATCCTTGGAACCAGTGAATATGTCAGGTTATATATATATATACATATATATAAGTGTGTGTATATATGTGTATATATATATGTATATACATGTACGTGTATGTATATATATGTTTACATGTATACATATATATACACACATATATATGACAAAGGAGATTTATAGTTACAGATAGAATTAAGAGAATTAAGGTTGCAAATCTGCTGAACTTGAGATGGTGATATTAACCTGGATTATATGGGTCAATGATGGTTAATTTTATGTATCAACTTGAATGTGCTACATGGTACCCAGATGTTTAGTTAAATATTATCCTGGATGTGTCTGTGAGGCTGTTTCTGAAAGAGATGAACATTTGAATTAGTAGATGAGTAAAGATATTGCCCTCCTTAACATAGGTGGCCCTCATCCCATCTGTTGAAGGACCAAATAGAATGAAAAGGCTAAGTAAAGAATAATTCTCTCTCTCTCTTTCTATCTTCCTGATGGTCTTCAATCTGAAACATCCATCTCCTCCTGCCTTTGGACTCCGAATCATCTGAAACTGACATGATGGATTGTTCTGGTTCTTAGACCTTTGAACTCAGACTGGAACTATACCATTGGCTCTCCTACATCTCCAGCTTACTGGCTGTTGATCTTGGAACTTCTTAACCTCTATAATCATATTAGTCAATTTCTTATAATATACACAGATATATGATACATCTTATTGTTCTGTTTCTTTGGAGAACCCTGACTGATTCAGATTTAAGGACCAAGAAGTAGGGTGCTGCTTTAAAAAATACAGACAGTCCCTGATTCTACTTATAATTTTTCAACTTTTTGGTGAGTTTACTGTGCAGTAATCCCATTGTGAGTCAAAGGGAATCTAGACTTAAGGTGGTTTGACTGATGATTTTTTTTTTTGGACTCTACAATGTGTTTGTCATGAAGTAACCACATTTTAACTTGAGGAGTATCTGGACTTACAATGAATTGACTTAGGATTTTTCAACTTTATCATGGATTTATTGTGATGTAACCCCATCGTAAGTGGAAGAGCATCAGGACTCATGATGATTCCACTTACGATTTTTCAACTTCACAATGGGTTTATTGGGATATTAAATACATTTCAATCTATACTATTTTTGACTTATGATGGGTTTATTGGGACATATCTCTATTGTAAGTCAAGGAGAAATTGGCTTTGGAACTGGCTACTGAATAGAAACTGGACGAGTTTTGAGATGCATGCTGTAAGTATGAATATTAAGCATGATTTTGACGATGTCTCAGGTGAAAATGAGGAATATGTTTATTGAAAACTGGAGGAAAAGCAATCCTTGTTATAAAGTGGCATCGAATTTGCTAAACTATGTTCTAATGTTTTGTGAAAGATAGAGCTTGTGAGTGATAAGATTGGATATTTAGCTGAGGATATTTCCAAGCAAAGTGTTGGAGAAGTGACTTAGTCTTTTCTGAATACTTGTACTAAAATGTAAAAAAGGACAGAATTAAAGAGAAACTAGTAAGCAAAAAGGAGCTAAAACTTAAAGATTTGAAAATTTCTGTCTATGCATATTTCAAAAAATGACAAAGATTGTTCTAGAGAGAATACTAAGGGTCTGACTGAAAAATCATTTGTAGAGAGGCCATGGGCACAACACATGGACCTAATCAGTCATCTCAGCAGGAGCCAGGAATAGAGTCGAGATTCTGCCAGCTGGGACTAAAGGGGACAGAAAAATGAGATGAAATGGAAAGGGCTATCATATTTTTTAGATCCTATGGAGCTGGACTCCACGTATATCTGACCACACATGTGTGGTATTTTCAAGAAAGGGGAAGATAACCCCAAAGCCATAAGAGATCATTAGAGCTGCTATCTTGGTTTCAAAGAGTTAAGGCCATTGCCCAGGTATTAATAGGCCAGACAGATTTCTTGGAAGCCTTGGGAACAAAACCCCTGTGCAGAAATGTGGAAGGAGGGCTACTCTGCAGACACTTGGGGGTGTGACCCCTCCATGGCAGAGCTGGAGGAAGGATGACCCACCCAACCATTCCAGGAAATGAGACCACAGTCTCTGTTGCCCAGAAGATAAAGCATCAAGTCAAATGAAGTTATTTTCCATCCTTAAGATCTAATAGAATTTGCTTCACTAAGTTTTGGACTTACTTGGAAACTCTCATTCCTTCCTTCTTTTCTATTTCTCCCTTTTGCAATGGAAATGTCTATCTTTTGCCTCTCTCAGCTGCAGAGTTTTACAGATGAAGAGGAATTTTGCCTCAGGATAAATTATATGTGGATCTCACCCATATCTGATTTAGTTGATATTTTGATGAGACTTTAGACTTTAGAGTTATTGCTAGAATGAGTTAAGACAGTTGGATGGAATGAATGTATTTTTCATATGAGAAAGGCATGAATTGGGGGGCAGTTAGGGGAAAAATGCTATGGACTGAATTGTATTGATTCATGTTGCAGCCCTCATCTGCAATGTGACTATATTTGGAGTTAGGACTTTTAGGAGGTATTAACATTAAATGAGGTCTTAAGGGTAGTACCATAAATGGATAGGACTGATGGCCTTATAAGAAGAGAAAGAGAAAGAGATCTCTCTATATATCCACGTGCATGCACCAAGGAAATGTTACTTGAGTACACAGTGAGAAGGTAGCCATCTAAACACCCATTCAAGAGCCCTCACCAGAATTCTAACCCTGATGGACCTTGATCTTGGACTTTCCAGCTTCCAGAACTATGATAAAATAAATTTCTGATTTTTTAAACTACTGAGCCTGTAGTATTTATTACCATATCCCAAACAAAAAGAGGCCCAGTGTAATCTCAAGTGTCTTTACAAGTGGAAGAGGGAAGGACAAGAGAAAGAGCTATAGCAATAGCAGCATAAAGAGGACCCACTTCAGTGTTTTGGTTTTGAAAATGAAGAGAGAAAAAGAGAGGGAGAATTAGCTAAAGAAGGTGGCAGTCTCTGGAAAAGACAAGGAAACGGTTATGCTCCCAGAGCCTTTAGAAAGCAGCTACCCTTCTGACACCTTGATCTTAGGCCAGTGAGA